GCAGACAGGGGCACCCATGGCCAGGGCAGCAGTTCCACTTCCCAGGAGCCCCACAGCTGTCAGCTGACTTGGAGTCTGGGCCGGCGGCCATTTTGGCCCATGTGAGTTGTAAGCTGGGAGCAGGCCCTCCCCTGAGCCGGCCTGCGGTTCCCAGCCTGAGCCTTCCCAGGACCCCGGGGCCTGTGCTGTCACCTATGCAGCGGGCTGAGCGCCACTCCACACCCCCCACCCCCAATGTGTCACCTATGCAGCGGGCTGAACACCACTCTACACGCCATCCCCCCCATGTGTTACCTATGCAGCGGGCTGAACGCCACTCCACACCCCCCACCCCCAATGTGTCACCTATGCAGGTGGCTGAACGCCACTCCACACCCCACCTCCCACCGTGTGGCGTGTTACCTATGCAGGTGGGCTGAACACCACTCCACGTGCCATCCGCCTGGCAGACTCTTTTGGAGGACCCCACCAGTATAAATGGAGATTTGCACTGGAAGAAGACTTCGGAGTTGTAGGTGAAGCTTTTCCCACTGATCCTCCCCTCGGCGGGGACCCCGGGGTCTCCACAGAAGACAGCTGTGGAGAACAACCAGGAGAGAGGGCGGCGGCTTTAACACCCCATGTGGACTACTTTGCTGCTCAACTTGTTGAAGTCGTTTCTGCCCAGTCTCCAGGTTGAACCAGAGAGAACTAGAGGAACGCATCCCCTTGGGGCTCAGGCTGGAGCCCGAGGTTGGTCCAGCGTGCAGCTAAGGATGTGCGGTGATGGGGGGAGACTTACGCAGGCACTGGGGCACCTCTCCTTTCCACACCCCGCGGCCTTCACAGGACAGGATGGCCGAGTGGGAGGGCTGGTAGCCGTCGGCACAGCTGTAACTCACGCTGGAGCCCCAGTGGAAGTCTGCGCCCTCCACACGCCCGTGCGGCACCGCAGGGGGCTGGCTGCACAGGACCGCTGCCACCAAGAAAGCAGACACAGTTCTGCTGTTACAAAGACAGCATAAGTACAAGTTCGCTACCGTTTTGCATTAGTTTAGATCAAAAAGGTAAAATGAAGATCAAGTGGAAATGGATCACATGGAAAGAGAAAACAGAATTGAGGAGTTAACAGGATTTCACATCTACAAGATCATGAAAGAAAAAATAATTCTATTTATTTATTTATTTTGGGTCCGGTCGTCAGGCCTGAACTCTGGGCCTGGACGCTGTCCCTCAGCTCTTCAGCTCAAGGCTAGTGCTCTGCCCCTTGAGCCACAGCACCACTTCCGGCTTTTTTCTTTTTGCTTATGTGGTGCTGAGGAATCGAACCCAGGGCCTCAGGCAAGCAAGGCAAGCGCTCTACCACTGAGCCACCTTCCCAGCCCAAAAAATAATTGTTTTTACAGTGGTTATCATACGTAAATTAAATGAAGGCTTGGTCATGTGACCAGAATACAACTTTTGAGTTTGTGCATAAATTTGGTAAAATGTTCTCCTCTTCTGTGATTTTATTTATTTTAGGGCTGTGTACACTTTCCAAAAAGCATAATCTGTGTGTCTACTTGCTGTTCATACTTGTTTCAAAAACGAAGGCGTGAGTGGGTGAAGGGCTTTCCTTGGAATCCCACATGCACATGCTCTCTCCTGGGCTGGGTGAACAACGTAAGGGCCACGTGTGCAAGCACTGCCCTGGGGGTCGAGTGTGCCACGGGCCCAGAGAGAACACCCAAAATCACCGTCCAAAACTGCCCTGAATTTCAGAAACTGATGAGAATTTCCAAACACCGAAATGGGGTACAGGCATTCTTACCCAGTTCACAGCCCCAACTTCTCCTGGGAAACATCACCCACACGTGAGCAACCGCAAGAACCAGCGGGCTGTACAAGGTGTGGGGTGCATCACAGGAAGCTGCTGCGCCCTGCCCACTGGGTGCCTGCCACAGGTCTGCAGCACACACCCTCCATCTAGGATGGAGCATCCGAACCCCACCTCCCCCATCCCCGATTTTGTCATGGGCCCTTCACTAGCCCTTCCTCTGTCATACTGCAAAAACAACGTGGCTGAGCCCTGGAAGGCCCCGAGACAGGAGGTGCAGCCTGCACCTGGCGGCTTGTGCACGCACACGCACGCACCTCTGCAGACGGGCTTGCTCTGGTTCCAGGTGCCGTCCTTGGTGCAGCGGATGGTGGCAGAGGCTGCGGGCTCCATCAGGTACCCAGGGTTGCACTGGTAACTCACTGTCTTGTTGAAGGTGAAGTCCGTCCCAAACTGGACGCCGTTCGGTAGCGTGCCTGGGTCCCCGCAACTTATGACTGATGGGGAGGCGGTGGGAAAGAGCCAGAGCAAGGTGAAATCACCATGGCGTGAATTAATCATGGCTCCCATCAAGGGATGCTCTATGAGCTGCTGTCTGAAGTGATCAGGCCGTGAATTATTAACGTCTCCCCGCCCGCCACCCTTTTGGGATCTGGCTGACCTGCTGTCAGGAGGCTATGTGTTGGGATTTCTCATCCCTGCCTGGGTGGGCATGGCTGCTACCTCCTGCTGCCCCTAACCAGGCCCTGTGTGGGGTCACACACTGAACAGCACACAGACACAGCCTTGGACACTGTCCAACCTAACCGACCATTTAAAGTAGCTTCAGCTACTCAAAGCGCCTATAAAATGGGATCATGTTGAAAATGGATATTTGACTTTTGTCAATGAAACCGCTCGGAAGGGCACGCTGTCCCTCCCCTCCCACGGCTCTGCAGCCCGAGCACGCCGACCGACAGCCACTCACTCGTGCAGTCCGGCGCCGTGCCCGTCCAGGTCCCGTTGGCTGTGCAGTGCCGGGTGGTGAGCCCCGAGGTCCGGTAGCCTTCCCAGCACGCGTAGACGACGGAGCTGGAGAAGAGGATGCCGTCGCTGCTGCTGATCATGCCGTTGGTCGGGGTGCCGGGGTTCCCACAGGACACAGCTGATGGGGGGGAAGAGCCGACGCAAACAAGTCATCCACACATCACCGGCAAGGCCTGAGGCCAACTCTCAGCACCTCAACTTCAACCATGGGAGCTCTGCTCATTCAAGGGACCTGAGCCACGTCCTTAAATGCAAGACGTGTCTCTGCTGAGCAGCCTGGACGTGGCGAGACTCTCCCAGCCTAAGGCCCGAGCGGCCGTGAGCACAGGGCCTGTGGGCAGGGGAGGGCCCCTCCTCACATTTCCACTTCAGTTAGCGCGGGCCGCGCCCAGGCCAGGGGAAGACATGAGCCTTGGCCTCACCTCCCAGCCCAGCCTCAGAGCTCGGGAACTCGCGTGAGGGAGCCTTGGAAACGGCAGTTAAAGATGAGGTTGCTAACCAAGGCGAGTGTCCTTCAGTGGAAATCTATAAATGTGTAATGTGAAAGTTGTTAGGAACGTAACGTAAGATCTTGAAGCATGTCCTCCACAGTTCTCCTTTGTGGCTCATCAACGCCTCTCCTCCCTTCACGCCCTCCTCCCGTGTGCCATCGGGTGAATGTCCCTGACACTGGTGTAGAGCACAAGCTGGACGGAGGCACGAACCAGAAGCCTGGTGGACATGTCTGACAGGTGCTGGTTTTCTACCGGCTCCTCCAGGCCGCCCCGATCACACACAGAAAGTGTTTCACACACACCAAGGCCATCTTCGATTATTCACACAACTCCAAACCCGAGAACCCTACTCGCAAAGAATTTGTCACGTTTAAAGTCTTCCCGCCTAAATTCTAAGCATTATTTTCAGAACTCTAAACAGAGTGCCACTGACCACAGTCAGGTCAGGGACAGGCCTCTGGGAGAGGGCCCAGCCGCCGCCTTGCCCGCCCTCTCTCGCTCGCTCCTGGAGCCGCGTCCTGGGCTCTCGCACCACAGTCAACTGACGCAGCCCAACACGTCACACAGAACGCAGCCCTGCGCCCCTGCGACAAAGCTCTGGGCGAGGGACACCAGAAGACGGGACGGGATGTGCCGTCTACCTGCAGAAATCAACCTGATGACGCCTGGCTCCTGTTAGCTGCGCCTAAACTGCATTTCCACCACCAAGTGCCATAAACCAGCGACACCCCAGGAGCCCAGAGACCCCACCTCTGAGTGCCTGTACAACACACCAAGTCTCAAGTCCAGTTTCCTAGGACCTACCCACCATCCTTGAAAGATGCTCTTAAAGACTATGGGGGCGAGGGGGTGATGGTACAAAGAACACAGGTCTCCGGGGATGGGGAGGGGTGCTGCAGCCGCTTCTGGGGGCCGATGGCGGCAGGGCTGCGGGAGGACCCGCCCCTCATCCTCACCTTCGCACACGGGCTGCACTCCGGACCAGGAGCCGTTGGCCAGGCACGTCCGCTCCGCCGAGCCCCGCAGCTGGTGGCCCATCTCACAGGAGAAGCGCAGGAGACTCTTGGTCTTAAACTCGTCCCCGAGCCGAGACCCGTGCGCCGGGGTCCCGGGGTCACCGCAAAACCCAGGGTGACTTCCTGTGGGACGCGAACACAGGCCGCACACGCGTGTTTAAAGCAACAGAAGTCACCGAGTGACGCGTTCATTAAACGTGGGCTTAGCACGGTGATTCTAAAGCATTCTGGTCATCTTGTAAGAATGACTTGTTATCACAGACTACAAAACGGAAGGAGACACCATTTTTGTGTCATTGAAGGACAAATAGCCTAGCGATTATGGCGTTTTGAAGACGTGAAATACTGAGGGGGGTGAAGGGAGGGTGGTGTAGGGGAACGAGGGGACACGTGGGTGGGGAGCCAAAGACACCGGATCAGGTGCACGCGCTGCCTGGGGGAAGCACCCAGCCTGGACTGGAGGAGGAGCAGGGGAGGACTGACGGCAGCGAGCGTGTGTCCGGCAGCGGCAGTGCTGAGTGGCTGCTGCTGAGTCGCGACAGCACAGCTGCCTTCCCCAGAGCAGCCCGAGGCTCCTGCAACCCCACGGCGTCAGGGTGACCGTGACCTCGGCCCTCACCTGAGCAGTGGGGCGGGGCTCCGCTCCAGCGACTGTCCTCCTGACAGACCCGCGTGCTGTTCCCGGTCAGGGTCTGGCCCCCTTCGCAGGAGTACCGGACCGTGGCACCAAACGTAAACAGCTCTCCGGTGAGCACAGCATTGGCTGGAACCCCAGGGTGCCCACACGATATGGCTGACGGGAGGAAAGAGCTCATGAGGAACAGGCCCATCATTCAGGAGAAGTCCCCCAGAGCACCCCCACTGAGAGTGAGCCCCCACGCCCAGCCTGCACGCCCCGGGGACCGGTTCCAGATGAGATCTCTGTCCACAAGAGTGACTGACTGAAGCAAAGGGAAAGCTCTGCTGCAGGGATTTTCTTTCTTAAGACAGCTGTGCGTAAGCCAGGAGCCAGTGGCTCACATTCATAATCCTGGCTACTCGGATCCGAGGCTGCCCAGACAGAAGAGTCCACTGGACTCTGTCTTCAGCGAAAAGCAGGGCTGGAGGCCTTCCTCAAAGAGGAGAGTACCAGCCTAGCAAGCGCAAGGACCTGAGTTCAAACCTAGTCCTGTCTCCCACCTCTTCCCACCCCTAGGAAACCACAGCTCTGCTTGAGGTTGAAAAGCACATGGAAGCTTTCAAGGAGAAAACCATGTTTTCTGCTGTTCTTTTGTCTGCTCTGAATTGCATATCCCCTGAGAGCAAAATTGTAAGAAATTTGGGAAACTAACATAAATCCATCAAAATTGAATCCATCAGAATGGTTTTCATTCCTTGGGGACAGAGTTCTGTTAAGTCTGCTTAATTTTTAAGTTGCCATGACTAAAAATACCAATCTAACAATGGTGCTTTTAATAAGTGGCAATCTAAATTGCATAAGTAAAAGAGAAATATTTGATTAATTTCTTCCATAAAGTAACATTCATATTTTCATTTATTTCCCTAAAATTGTACTCAATTGGGTCTCTATGCTGTTCATAATTATTCCTCAGCAAGGTTTGTCTGGATGAGAAGAGATTTATGCAAATAAAAATAAATCTAGGATTGGGATGAAAGGGATTTATGTAGATTCATCTCTATCTTTTCAATAAGCTACTGAATTTAACACTGGGTATACTTTTATGTGAACTAACTTGTTTGCAACTACCAATGAATCATCCAAAGGCATCTGATTTACTGTCTTAGGCTCCGAACACGGGGTCACTAGTGATCACATGATGAGCACAGAGAGGAGGAGTTCAAAGTCTGGAATGCGGTTCTGATACCCAAAAGCAAATTAGCCTTCCCTCTCTGTTCAACACTGGCAGTCCTTCACTGGAAGGCTCATTTATCCACAGCTCCTACAAAGGAACCAATTAGAGCGAAGAGACTGAGAAGTTGAGTAAGTAATCAATTCTAGATGAAATAAAAGAGAACAGGGGACGCCATCAGGGAGCCAGGGTCACAGGGACAGTGGAGAGGAGCTGAGCTGATGTAGACGCAGAGCTGGGGTCGCTCCGAGCCTCCGACACCGCACGCTCCGCCGATCGCGAGGGCCGGCAGCGGAGCCAGACGCGACACCGCACGCTCCGCCGATCGCGAGGGCCGGCAGCGGAGCCAGACGCCTCGGCAGACCCCAGCGGAGGGTCACCACGTTCACCTCTGTGCAAGGACAAGCACAAGTCTCCCTCAACGTGTCTCTGAAAAGCCAGCAAGTGTGAAGGTGTGGGAAGACAGAGAACACGGAGACTGCAGTACGTCTGCGGATGCAGAGCAAGCGCAGCGTAAGCACATAACGTGTCCCAGGAAGAGGAGGGCGTGCGATACATTTACTAACTCACAGATGGCGTAGCAGGTCTTCTCCGCTGTCACGCACTTTTCTTCCTGGAGCCCGGCGTCACAGTTAGAATCCGTGCGCACCAGCGTCAGGGCTGTGCGGGGACTGGCTTTGCAGAGGGAGTCTCCTCCCCAGGACCAAGCCATTCTCAATAGGGGGCCGTAGGGCTACGACTGTCACTGTGTAGACAGCGAGGCCAAGCCTCTCAGCCTCGTTCTGACTCGTGAGCACGCACAGGACAGGCGTGCCCGGAAGGCCGAGTTTCCACTTTAAGGACTGACTGCTTAAAAAGATCAACGTGAGGAATGCCATTTCCCACATTCTCAGACTGCATCCTAAGAGAGATGGTTTTCTTTGCACAGAAGGATGGCTGGGATTCTCAAGTGAAAGAAAATCAGACCATGGCTATGTGGGGAGAAAACGATGCATTCTTGTTCATCTGCATCTTCTGAAATGCAGTGATAATTATACCTCGAAGATGCTGCAGTCCCAGGTCATCTTATCTGCCAGGAGAGCACCTCTATTCTTTCTAACAACATAAATATGCTCTCATTAGCATATTTATGTGAAGATCTTGTTCAGACGCTGCCGGTGAGCCCCAGCACACCGAGCCACCGCCAGGCGTGCACCTTCCCACTGAAACCCGTTAGCCGTGTGACACGCCTCGGCACTCACCCAGACACTTGGGTAGAGACCTATCCCACAGGCCATTGGCCATGCAGGTCAAGGCCGAGGACCCCAGCAGGTAAAAGCCCTTCTTGCAGTGATACAGGACGCTCATTCCGTACTCGAAGCTCTCAGGGAATGTCTGCTGCCCGTGCCGAACGGCATTCTCCACGAAGCCTGGGTCAGAGCAGTTCACCACTGAAAACAAGACAGGTCACAGGTCACCAGACCCAGCTGTGGCTCACAGAAAGAAACAGACAAACAGGTTACAACAGGAGAGAACCACTCATCATTCTAGAAAGCTGACAAAACGAGAACTTCACCCCGAAGCCGTGTCACTCTCCACTTCCTTGATGAATTCTGATGATTTCCCTGCACCGGTTTGCTTCCACAAATATTAAGTGTTAAATGAGATACTACAGCAACTTTGATTTTATGAGGTTAGCTTACTGTGTCCTAATAATACACTTGGCCAACACAAACTCTGAAACCGGATGAGGTTCTGTGTTGTCAAGTTCGGAGGTTTGAGGCAGGGACACGGTGACAAGCCGTCAACTGCGTCTGTCCGTGTGCTCACACATCAACATGTGTGCACAGTCACGTCAAGCTTGCACACAGTCACGTCTGCTCACGACAAAGGGAGCGGAGGACGGCAGCCCACGCGTCCCTGTGAGTCTGTGGTCCATGACACGTTCTGGCCACCGCGGACCCCATGGTCTGGGCACCATGGGCATCTTCAGGGCACTAGTGATGTCCCCCAGGGAGAGCGCTCTGCACTGCACCCAGCATGCTGCAGGTGGCTCGGTGGCACCAGCGATGGCAGGTTAGTCCGTTAGGCCCAGCTATCCACAGGGGCAGCCCTCCTTGGCTGTCCTCCTCCCGCGAGGTGTCTGAGTGACTCGGGGAGCCACTGGAAGGTGAGCTGAGCATCCTACGTCAAATTCCTTAGGCCACCACGTATCCTAGGAAATGACCGGCGGCACTGCCGTGTGGACCCACAGGACCCGAGGTCTGAGTCACTCATAGTGTGATGAAGAGGGTGAGGAGCGTGGGGATCTGTGTCAGAAAGATGTGGAGCGTGGGCCTGTCACAAAAACCCACAGTTCCCTCTGATATCTCACTCCACAAAATGCTCACGCTGTGGCTGGATTTTCTGGTGAGAAATCCACCTCGGCAGGAAGGCATGAGAAATAAAGACCTCTTCTAGGTTCACATGATTGCCCAGTGTGGAGAAATTCGGGTGGACCCCCAAAGTATGTCCCATGTAAACATTTCTGCATGTCAGCAAAGAAACGCATGTGTGAACGCAGTCCCCAAGCGCACAGGGTCCGTACTGGAGGGGTCGGTAGAAACAAGGACCTGGGACTGTGTCCGGTACAGTTCACTCAAAAACCCGCATCACTGTTACTTGGTCAATCCCAACTGTGCCCTGTTCCCCTTTGAGAGGAAGCGAGACCGGGCATTTGTGTCATCTTGGAATCCTAACCATCTATCTTGCCTCCTGAGTTATACACTGAGCCTTTTTACTACGGGCCGAACCTCATCCCCAGAAACACTTGTTCAAAGCATTCGTGAGGTCAACATGCAAACATGGACAAGAACAGCACTCCGTGGCGCCACCTGCAGTGTTCAGAGGTCTGGGGACCTCTGAAGCCTCCATCGCCGTTTCCTGCTCTCTCCAGGCAGGTATAGAGAGCTGACAAAGGGGATCTTAGAATACCACGCTGAGACATTAATAGTGAATCCTGTGAGCTGTTCTGCAGGACTTGTGGTGACTGGCATTTCCCTGGGGCTCAGGGGACACAGCCCTGAACGGGCTCTCAGAGCCCACCTCCGCCTCTCCCCATCTTGTCCTCAGGGGGCTGGGCATCACATCAATTCCTCATCCCTCTCCTGTTCAGAACCCAGAGCCATGGTGTGTTTTCACGAACATCCGGGTCCTTCTGCATGATGGAGGCCCCCGTCCTTCACCCTTGCTGCTTGTGACAGGTGGTGACAGAGCACACGTGGAGGCAGAGGACTCGTGCAAAGCAAGCCCCACCCGACGCTCCCAGCGGGTCACCTGCCTCCGCCCACCCCCACTGAAACACCTAGGAAACTTCCATCACTTTTAATTAGATAATTTAGTTCTGAGTTCCATCTGTAGTTCTCGGGGAAAAATTACAATAAGCTCTTAGCCCGAGCACATTATATTTCCCTTGTGTATTGCTGCTTTATTTATTCATTCATTAAAATATATTAATTGATGATAAATTAAAAAGTTGATGAGGTTTGACTTTCAGGGCGTCTGATGTGACTGGAGCAGAACTATGCAATTTAACTTGCAAATTCAAAGTCTGGTTAAACACGGAAACTCCAAAAACACAGACACTAAAGAACTTCCCAACTCTTGGGCTCCACGGGGTCTCCGTGCGCCGCAGGCTGGGACAGCGTTGGCTTGCAGGGGTAGGGCCTCTCCCAGGCTCCCTCCCAACACCCGGGGCCTGTGGAAGGTGAACCCGGGCCACGTCCGTGGCTAGGGTTTCCTTTGCAAGGCAAAAGGCACTTATTGTTATAAAATTATTTTAGTTTCATTCTCACAAAAAAGTAAAGTGAATGGGAAGGATCAAATTAAATTAAAAAATCAGTTGTCTGAGGCAAAGGTTTTCTGCAAACAAACAAACAAAAAACCCACTGTTCAGTAACATGGAAAATACTCTGAGCTGATCAAGCAGCGGTAAGCCCTGATGGAGGAAGGAGGCCCAGAGGTCTTGTATACTTAGCACCTTCACAGAGGAAAGAAAGAAACAGAAGGAAACGAAAACCCTCCTCTACTCCATGCAAGGGTCTGCCTGTGGCTGGGCACTGGGGCAGATGTCAGAGGACAGGGAGACACCTTTAAAACAGTTACTGTTCATGACAAGCCATCCTTATCCTCACTGTCATTTGAATCGACTAAGATGCTCTGGGTCAGAACCATTCGACCCTCTGACTGTTGGCGCCATTCTGTCCCCAGCTACATGGAAAGAGGGCTGTGGGACAGCGATGGCTGGAGTCTTCCCACCAGCACCATGGGCTCTGAAATCTCCATGGAGACCCCGAGGAAGCCACACAGCAACCACAGCCACTTGCCGCCTCAGAGCCGTTCCAGTCCCCAAGCCGTCGCCCCGGAAAGTTCTCATAAACTCTGCTGTCTGCCGTCTTAACAGGCTCTCGACGAACCTCTCTGTACTATGAACACACGCAGCCCAGCACCAGACAATGGCTTTCAACCCCCTACCTGAGAAAGGACCAGTAAGCAGAACATGCAAAGACTTCTGAAAACACAGCCTTATAGAGCACATGAGAACTCTAAGCCATCTGCCAAGAACACGGGCCAAATGTGCAAGCAGACACGCGGAAGGGTGGGGCAGACACGTGGGGGCAGCAAAGGACACACAAGATGCTGTTACCACACTCCACCGGACCCTCACAGGGACTGGCTATACGCCTGACAGAGTAACGCAGAATAAGGCACACGGCCACACCAGACACTGACAAAACTAACAACTAAAATCCACGGATCTCCACCCTCCTGAAGTGCATCCGAATAGGGCTCCCTGGAACTCAGGGACACCAGGCGTCAGCGGGTGTCTCAGAGCACACGTGACTGAGGAGGCTGTGGCTCTACAACCACGCACAGATGGGGCTGGGCCTGGGGCTGGGCAGTCAGAGCTGGAGAGACGGCCCAGGTACCAACAAGGAGGGACTCCCTGTGGACTCATGGCGTCCACAGAGAACTCCCGTGCCCACCATGTGTGAGCAACTGATGAAGCATACCCAGTCTCCCTGGCTGACTGCTCTCTGGGACTGGCTACCTCCACATCCACAGAGCCCTAAGGAGAGTTTCAGGCCTGGGAATCCAGGGCAGCTCTGAGGTATACTTTCCCTTCCCATCCCTTTGCATTCATGCACCTGCTTCTGCTCAAGTCTCCTGGGTCCCTGGACTCTCTCTCTTATAGGTCAGAATCCCTCTGTACCCCAAGCCTGGTGACACAAATGCAGGGACATCACCCCACTTTTGCACCAAGACATAACACACCTGGGGTAAGGAAGAATCTCTGCGGAATTGAACTCCTAAATGACCTGATACCATGAGACGTATAAAAATTAACACAGAATTTCCTTTTAAGCTGTGGTAGACCAGGTTTATGTGCGAGTTTTAAATAAATGAATCAAAGACAAATAGGTGAAATTTAAGAACAGTAAACCCTCTTTGTATAACGAGTACATAAAGACAATAGAAGTAATAAATAAAAGCAGAGAAAACTTCAGCCATACATTCATAAAATTAGAAGCTTAGGGGCTAAAAGTGCTCATAAAACACTGTAGCAAAAACAAAGAGTGAACAAATGAATGAGAAAACAAAAACAAAACAAAAAAAACACCAGACAGATTTGTCTTTGCAGGAGAAAAATCTTAGGTTTGTGATTGGCTGTCCCATCAAGAAGCAGAAAGAGGCTCTTAGGAAACTGTGTGTGTGATTTGCCAGCGTGCAGGGCTCTGTGGTCAGCAGCGCGCACCGTGGGTGTCCAGCCCTTTCCCAGTGTGCAGGGCTCTGTGGTCAGCAGCGCGCACCGTGGCTGTCCAGCCCTTTGCCAGTGTGCAGGGCTCTGTGGTCAGCAGCGCGCACCGTGGGTGTCCAGCCCTGAGCTGAGGCTGCGCACTCCATTTGTGAACACAGTTGTCTGCACCCTGACACGCGGGGCCCGGGACCCTTGCCTACCTCGACACGCGGGCAGAGGGCTGCTCCACTGGCCGCTGCTCCGGCACTGGGCGCGGGAGGCTCCGTGCAGCAAGTAGCCCGTGTTGCAGGTGAAGTTCACGAGGTCGTTCAGGTTGAACTCCGTGCCATTGGTGGTGCCGTGGGCAGGGTTTCCGGGGTGTCCGCAGGTGATCGCTGTGGAGAACAGGTCCGGGTCACTACCCACTTCCCCTGCTCATGAGAACACGCAGGTGCAGCCCACACTGCTGGGCGCAGGGGGTTCTCACCAGACACTCTGCAGTTGCTCTTTGTGTCTAAAAGAGCATCTGGGATTGGCCACGGGCTGAAGGTAGAGACCTTTGTCACACTTGTGGACAAGGCTGCCAGATGTAGTTTCCACATTACAGAAACTTATTTTTTCCAGGAGGACAGAACACCATGGATTTGAAAGAGGCAGAGAATGACAGATGAGAATAGTCTGGCTTGAATGGGAGTTTGAATGTTTACCTCCTTTGGACTTGCCAATCTCTGGAACTCTTGAAAACATGATGGGTTTTTGTTTAAAACTAAATTGTCCCTGTATAGATGACTCAAATATAAAGTTAAATGTTATGAAATTAGCAACTGGACACACTCAAAGTTATTTTCACTGCCAGTCCTGTTGTATGATACTCTGAAACGTGGTGAGCTGTCACGTTATACTTCAAACAGGGAGCTATCTGTCCTTAGCCCTTCCAAACACTGGTATTTTTGTTCCTCATTTGTCTTGCCAGCACTCTGTAAGTTCTAACTGACACCTGTTCTAACTCATGCCTGAACTTTGTACATGACAGACCTGTATCGCAGACAGCACTGCCACTGCCCAGTGGCCGCATCCACCTCCCTGTTGCTTAGTTCACAGGAAGACAAAGAATGTGTCAGAGTGAGAACTGGCTTAAAATTTACAACGGTTCTAAATACCAGACCCTGTTTTGATCTTTGAAGTTACCAGTTTAAAGAGCTATGTCTACATATGATTGTCTCTTTTGTGTAAAAAAGGAGGGCTGTTTGCAAGACTGAGCATTCTTTTTTGTTGTTGTTGTTGGTCGTGGGGCCTTTACTCTGGGCCTGGGCGCTGTCGCTCAGCTCTTCAACTCAAAGCTAGCGCTCTACCACTTGAGCCACAGTGCCACATCTGGCTTTTTTTCTGCTTTTTTTCTGGTGCTGAGGAATCGAACCCAGGGCCTCATGCATGCAAGGACAGCATTCTACCACTAAGCCACCTTTCCAGTCCAAGACTGGGCATTCTTGATGAAACCAGTTTGCAAATGTCACGCAGAGTAGATACTCTGAAGATCCGCAGAGCGGGCCTGCAGCCCTCCTCTAGGCCTGCCTCCCCCTGGGTGTCCCCTGACAAACAGGAGTGAGTGCGTGGCGGTGTCATCCCGGACACCACACAGACAGTGAACTGGTGGGACTTAAATGTGGTCAGCAGTCCTGTGTGGGGGCAAGAGGCAGATGGCTGAGACAAGGCAGAGGAGAGGTGACCGCAGACGTGCGCGTCACACTGCCAGCCGATGGGGGACGGCGAGAGGCTCGCTACTGGTTGAAGATGGGTGTGTGTGCATGTGTGCGTAAGCGTGTGCACAGGTGTGGGGTGTGCACGTGTATGAGCATTGCACAGGTGTGTGCACACATGTGTATATGTTTGTGCACATGTGCATAGGCATGTCTGAGCATTGTACAGGCATGCGCACAGACTGCATGTGAGCATAGGCACAGGTGTGAGTGTGTACATGAGTGTGTACGTGAGTGTGTACGTGAGTGTGTACGTGAGTGAGCATGTGTGCGTGTGTGCCAGCCAGCATGCATGCGTGTATGCGCAAGCACATGGATGTGCATGGGAGCACGCATGTGTGTGTGCGTGTGCATGGTCCGACCGCGGCAGTACTCACGGACGCAGACGGGCGTCTGGCCCGACCACCTGTGGTCCTGCAGGCAGATCCTGACCGAGGTCCCCACCAGCCGGAAGCCGGGGTTGCACTGGTAGACGACGGTGTCTCGGTAGCTGAAGCCGTCCCCGCTGATGTGCCCGTTCACGATGGGGTCCGGGGAGCCACAGTGCCCGGCTGAGAGCAGACCCAGAAGCAGCAGAGAACGGTCGATGAATGCAGGGACTGGGCGCACCACGCCCCTCACTCCTCACTCACCCAACAGCCAACCCCGCAGCAGCCCCACGCAGCGAGCCGGCTGGAACCCCACTCACTCACCCAACAGCCAACCCCGCAGCAGCCCCACGCAGCGGGCCGGCTGGAACCCCACTCACTCACCCAACAGCCAACCCCGCAGCAGCCCCACGCAGCGGGCCGGCTGGAACCCCACTGACACGGTACCTCACTTCACCTCCATGACCTTTCCCTTCCCAGCTCTCCGCAGGGTCCGCCAGCACACTAAGGACTATGTGGGAATGATTTTTATAATTCCATGACTCCTGCATTTCACTTCCCAGCCTTTCGTATTATTTATCTTGCTGTTCTATTTCCAAATAAAAGCCAGGAGAAAGGAGGGGCACCTAGCAAATCAGATCAGGGCTGGAAAGGGAGGTGGGTTTCCTGTCTAAGAAATGCGGTTGTCAGATGATGTGTGACCATCCAGAAGGAGGATCTGGCACAGAAGATTGAGCATTGGCAGACACCGTCTGATGAAGATGTGACCAGGGTGTTTTGTAGGGTGTGGCCGTACCGAGTTCAGAGCAGAGTGGTACTGACGAGGCAGATGCGGGAGGAATGGAACAAAAGTAGGAGGTGGGCTGGAATGCAAGGGCAACAATGCTGACCACCGCAGGACACACGTCGGAGAAAGGAAAGGCCGGACAGAGCTGGGGACGGGCGAGAACTGGGGACAGGACAAAGGTCTCTGCTCCTCCTGGTGACCTTCCACGCTCAGAGAAACATGGCCAGCCGCACTCACTGCCAAGCCCTGCTGGAGGTCTCCGCATTGTTAGTGAGTGTCAGCTGGTCGAGCTACTGCCCCTCTGAAGCAACTTGTTTCTCACTTGCTCTACCCTTCAGTCTCGGTAAGTTCCTCTCTAAACAAGTCAAAGTCTGAAGGGTACGATAGGCAAGTACAGATTTTTCACACAATTCCAGTTACAGTGGAATAGAGAAACCTCTACGAATATAACAATTAAAAGAAAGAGTAAAGGGGAGGAGAGCAATCAGGTCATAACGAGATATCAATGAATCAAAGTCACACACTGATTCTGTAGCTGCATACAGCGAAGCCAGACTCCAAGGGCTCTTTGTCTGCTTGTTTTGTGTTCATATTTACTCCTTCGTTGACATTTGCCCGTAGCTTAAACAGAGATCCCTATGTGTTTTTACAATAATTCTATAGCACAAGTTACCGTGTTAGTAAGTCACAAATTCTAAATTTCTTAAGAAACACCTGCCAGAAATTGCTGAAGAAGGTGTTGGGGCTCTAGGTCTGTGGCCCAGTTCACGCATGCCAATCTCACCAGAAGCCTACAAGTCAGGCGCTGATCAGACAGAGGGACCAGAGAAGCTAGTGGCCTGAAGAATTAGTACAGGGTCTATAAACACATGGCTCATGATTTTGCATCTGGATTTGCAGACATGGACGGATTTAGATCAACCCATCAGAAAGCGAGGGCTAAATTTTCTGTTAGTTCAAGCAGCATTTCTGGGCCTGCGCTATCTCATCTCCACTTCGCCCACGCTGGCTGCACTGCCGTGGAATGCCAAGTTGTTTTTAAGAATCAGGGGCAAAACCAAAAATGTAGTCATAAGGTGTGTTCTTTCTATTTTATACTCCCACCGCCAAAACAGAACAAAATCCACATCATACCAGTGCTAATGCCGTATTTTGTGACTAGCTGAATTTCAGAGCAAGAACAATGTGAAATTTCAACAACAAAGCCTTGGACTGACACCTCCTGTGCTGTGGACAGGACCTGAAGTCTGAGGGTGGACGTCACACCTCGGGAGAGACCTGAGGACATGTGGGCACACACACGAACCCCATGCACACACGCCTGCACACACCACACACGTGTGTACACACACCACACGCATGCATGCACATACACATCCCCACACCACACACATGCACACACGACTGCACACACCACACACATGCATACACACATCCCCACACCACACATGCACACACATGCACGCACACATGCACACACATGCATACACACATCCCCACACCACACACATGCGCACACCACATGCGTGTGTACACACACCACATACATGCACACACACATGCATACTCCTCTTGGAGGTGCCTGCTGTAAGGCCTCCTTTTCAGTGTGCCAGTTCCCAGCAGGGCAGATACTAAATATCAATGTGAGAGTAGAACTCCATTTCTAGAAAAACTCCTATCCAAATATTCATCCTTAGCATTTACTTTGTGGCAACTGATGCTTCATTGCTGAGGATAAATGCCAAGTGTAGAAGGTCCTGACCTCAGGGGAGTCAGAACCGCAGCAGGCTGCCTGGTGTCTGCAGAGCACATCTCTCTTGCTGGATGTCACCTGTCCTGCCTGGTATGGGTGGACCCTTCTCTGGATGGGGTACCCAAGTCCAGTTATGGGCTCGTCTTTCGTAGAGACGAGTGGTCATGGAATGTCAGAGGGACCAGCCACATACATGTGCAGAACACTGACTACAGACGTGGAACACGCGTGGGTATGTGTACACCTCCACATCTGTTCGTGTCAAGCACACTGGAGAACACGGATGGATGAGACTCTGGATGCCTCCACAGGCAGCTGTGGGGGTGTGGGGTCTGTCTGCCACGCACAGGAAGCTGAGCTGCCGAGAGAGGGCGTGGGCCCTTCTGTGGCTCCACACCGTGGCCGTGGCTGGGCAGGTCTCTCTGCTCTATGCACTGCACTCGGGGCGCGAGGTGCTGACCGGAGCCTGGTCACAGCGCCTCCAGATGCAACTTTTGACCAAATATCTGTCTAACACATCCTAGGAAAGCAGCAGCGATTTAAGGCCAAACTCAGTAGGGAGAAAAGTTCAAGCCAGTACAATGGTCTTTGAGGCTTTCTGAAATCTTTCGCCTGCTTCCTTTTAGTGTTCCTGTTGTTCCTAAATAGACATGCTTCTATTCCTGTGCATAAACTGCACCAGTCTGCATTGCTTCCCCGGCCTTCTGTGTCTGTGAAGCATCTATGCATCTCTCAAAGTGAAGTCTAAATCTATGCTGGGTTCTCAGACCTGGACAAATGCTGAAAGAATTGTTTATATGGGCGGACAGGAGGTGGGCCTGTCTCTGGTGAGTTCTGAGGAACTCACCCACGTTTAACCCTGGTGGCCAGTGTCCTGGTCTCACAAGGGAACGGAGCCAGCACCTGGCCCAGCACAGGTGTCTGCAATATTACACGAGCTCTCTCTCTTGATCCCTTGGTTAGAACTGTCTAGGTCACCTGACTACCTGATTATCTACACATAAGCTATTTAGACCACATATTGCATCCAGAATCACCTCAGCCTGTTTGTGTGTGCTGCAATCCACATCCCAGAGATGATCTGAACACACTATATTAAAAGGTAGCTTGGTGTGAAAGTTGATCCTCATTATGTTATGAAAAACCCTGAGCAACACAAATGTCAAAACAATCCAAGTGGCCTCCTCCCTCTTCTCCACCTATAGGACACTTCCTGAGGGGCTCTGCTATTCTTTCCTTTTGACATTCATGATTCCCAGCTTTTCATTAATAGTACTTGGTATCGGCCACATTTGTTCTTAGATTATAGATTCCATTAAATGAAGTACTTTGTCCTATTAACCTTTTCAAGTACTCTATGGCTCTTGAATAATGAAATAGATATTGTTAGGCAATGTTCTGAAACATACAGTCAAGAGCTCGCTGCTTTCACCCTGGGCAAGAATAACACAAGCACAAACTGTGAGGGGTGGAATTGGTTGTTTCCAAATAGTTTACTTTTCCTGACTAGGACACACATGTGCTTTGTACATGAGATCCTTCAGCAGAGACAAAGCGGGGGGAGGATACATTTTTCTTCTCTAATAGCATCTTTTGGACCTAAGAGGAACATTATCGTTATCAGCTGTTCTGTCAAATGTTTTACCTGGACCTCTCAAAAATACCAAGTATTTGAAGAACACATTCCAAGCTCACTTGACAAGAGCCACAGCATATTTAGTCTAAAAGAACACTTTGAATTATGTCATCTAGCTGATTAACCATCCGAGCTTCCCTCAATACTGCATTTACCATAGAATCTGCTTCCTCATGGTTATTATAACTCAGCTAATGCAAACTTACTTCAAATAAAAACCTAATCTAATAACAAGATAATGTACATTTCAGAGATACCTTGAATGTCATAAAGAGGCCACCAGTGGGAGCACTGTCGGGCCATTATGTATTGAAAATCTGAACAATAGAGCTGTTGTCAAAGGAGGACATTTGCAACTGGGGACCAGACTGCAAACATAACTCCTCCTCCAGGTCCTGTGCTCAGTGCTGGGCTTGAGGTAAATTAGCACAGGAGAGGCAAACACCGGCATTAATTAACGGAGGCTGGCACACCAGACGTCCCCGAGGGACAGCGGCTGGGGCACACCAGACGTCCCCGAGGGACAGCGGCTGGGGCATACCAGACGTCCCTGAGGGGCTCGGAGGTGTCTGGAAGCAGACATGAGGTCAGTCTGCCCAGACCTGAAGTCTGCAGCCTAGAGAGACATGCCCCACTGCCCAGAATGGATGTGGATTACAGCAAGTCCTTGGTACTTCACAGGGCCTTGGCAGAGGGAGAGCCCGAGTCAGCATGGGGTAGCTTTGAGACCTGCGTGTACATTTGTGTGGAACTCCTCTTCAAGCTGCCTACATACATTCGCCGTCCTCGGTCAGGGGTTCCGGGTAAGACTTCCTGCTATGACCTCTGACCCAGTGTAGACACAGTCACGGAGCGCGTGGTGAAGAGGATCTATCCCAACTCTCCATAGACAAGGCTCTCTTACTGTCTACGGGGCTCCCCTGACGGCCAACATGCCTGCCATTTCTGCTCAACCTGCAATGTGTCTGTGGCATGTGTCCCTGTGAACAATGCCAGACACACCAGAGTGCCATGCACAGAGCCTGTTGTGCAAGCCGATGCCCCGTCTCCACAGACAGCATTTCTTCTTACAAACCAGACACTGCACTCATAGCCGGGAGTGTGCTTCTGCAAAAGCCCAGGCCGTGACAGGCAGCATGGAGTCGGAACGCACACATGCCAGGAGGCTCTGGGGCGGGGCACCGTGGGGACCGCTGACGTCAACACAGAGCGTTCGCCGTGTGAGCACGCAACGAGGGATTTGGGGTGAAAAGATATTGCAACGGGGTAGGTATTAGGACTATGATAAAGAGATATAACTGGGTGGGTACTAGAACTGTTTTTACTAGAGGTAGGAAGGTTCCGTAACTAGGCGGGAACTGGTGGCTCTAAGTACTTAGGTTTGAGTAGTTGTAGTTGGGTTGGTACTGGAAGTAGTGAGGTACGTGTGGTAGTCAGGCACAGGAGGCGGTGGACACTGAAATGAGAAAGGACCACCCCCTGCGAAGGCCTAGTGAGGGGAAGGCGTCCGACAAGGGCTCAGCACCACTAGAGAGGGGAAGGCGTCC